ACAAAACAAATGTCCAAAATGAAATAACTTTCAGTGACGTTCCCGATTGTTGTAAAGTAATGAAGCAGATTAAATTCACCATGATGATGATATAAAATGATGATAAAAATCCAGATCATTTGATGCGTTTGCTGAGATTATTTGTAATATTTACATTTATATTTATATTTAAGAACTGTGTGTTCCCACCCCCCGATGTCAACTAACTTCCTGTTCACACTGTCCCCATAAACACCTGATCATACCACCACCTGAACAATTAACCCACCTGACCCTTCTTCACCATCAGTAAAAGTTCTGTAAACAAACTATTACACAATGAGAAACAACAACATCATTGGCCCCTTCACATCATCATGCTGGTTTGAAAGGTTTCATGTCTAAATGAGAGATCGGCTGTTTTAGGGATGAGACGCTTTATGTTTTCACAGCACATACAAACACACAAGAGGTCTTATTGCAAAAAGCAGGGACATTTTTCCGTCAGGATTTCACACTTCCACATGAATCTTACCTAAAGAAAAGTAAAACCTTTAAATCACAACTATGAATAAAGACTAGTCAGTCATTAGGCTACGTCTTAGAAACTGGACCTTTAGATTGGATCCTTATTAGTTTTGTAGGATGATAACCTCTTTTTCCAAAAAGAACCATTGTTGTTTTTTCTTAGGGGAAGGTCACATGACTCATTCAAACGTACCACGTGTGACTCAGCAGACTCAACCAGCAGCATTAATGTGATGTGCAACACGGCTGCAGGCTTCTGCAGTTCCTCTCTTCTCTGTCTCTATCACAATGTGGCTGAAATTAGATTTTGCATGAGGCAGGTGATCAATGAAAAAAGGGAAAAGGAGAGGCAGATTGAGGAAACTGAATCAAGAGCTCCATCTGCTGGCCAAACCGAGAAACAGGTTTGTGCTTAAATTAGAAGGGTTAAACAATACAATAATACTTTACAAATACAACACGTCTAACCAATGCTAAATTACTCTCTATTATATTATTTAGATATTCCTCCATGAATATAAGGCCATCGGATGCAACCTTCTGTAATCTTACAAATGCATGGAAACGTTTTTTTTTTTGTTCAGTTTTGTGAGAGAACTTGTTTGACTTTTGTGGTTAAAAAAGAAGCAGCCTTTAATTTAGTTGAATTTGGGAGTTGAAGGACAAATCCAGATTAGATCAAATCATCAGGTTCCTAGCAGCGGTGCTCGAGGCCAGGCCAGGATGATGCTACCTTTAAGAAACTGTAACGTTAAGTAAAACTTCAAAAAGATGCTCAGAGACAAGCTCTATAACTATGATCTATTACGGATGCATTCAGGTACATATTTTACATTTACAAGTAAATGCTATGTTTCTTATTTCCTATTTCTTATGTACAGTAACACTTTAAATCAAGGTCACAATACTCACCATCAACTTGTTGCTTATTAGCATGCTATTTAGTAGCATACTGGCTGCTTAGCCTTTAGTCATTATTACGAGTGTATTAGTAGCCTACCTTATTCTACATGACTAATAGGACATTAACTTAGAGTTTCTCCTCCTAATTCCTGCTTATTGATAGTAAGTTAGGAAGTTGTTGAACATGAATTATGGGTTAATATTATTTATTTAGTTTGGCCCTTATAAGGTAGAAGTAAATAAATCATATGAAGATCATAATTCATGTTCAACAACTTCCTAACTTACTATCAGTAAACAGGAATTAGGAGGACAAACTCTTAGTTAATGGCCTATTAGCTAACCAAAACGTGTCAGAAAACACAAAATACAGACTTTAGCAACAATGACGTGTTTTAGTAAAAGACTAGTATACAGTAAGTGTTTAAGTATTAGACATTAAGCTTCCTCCACAGATGGAGTTCACCCAGTTGTCATGAAAAGTCAAAACTCATCCAATTTCACATTTGCCAAGATTTATAACTACTTCTTTGCTCTCATCCGTCACAAAAATTAAAATATATTGATCATACAAGATCATAAAACTCATTAAGCCCTTCTCCACACATCAGACTAAATAAATGTCACTTACAGAAAGGAACAAGAATACTATACATGTTGGAACTTTAAAGTTAATGTGTGGGTTTTTATGTAACAAATACTACCTAAAAGTTCATTTATTTATTTTTCAAACTAATGTTTCCAACCTACAAATAAACTGACTCTCAGATTTGAGTTTTCACTGTGCATTGATTTAATATTCACATATCTAGATACACCACTAGATGGCAGTGTTGATCCAACTTTCACGTCCGTGTGTGGCGCATGATATTTCTTTATTTTGATGCAGTAGAAAAAAAGGTAACCCCATTAACAACAACGTTTCAGTGATATCACAAATCAACTCAAGTACTGCTGTTTCTCTTTGTATGATGTTTGTATATCTACAAATTTACTATTTAATGAAACATGTGAGAGTCATCTGATCATTTTTTACAGCACACATGCAGAATTTCTATTATTTACTTTGTGAAAGAGTATGTTTAGAATCAAAGACATTCAGAGAGCAAAGATCAAGAATTGAAATATGTGAATTACCCCGGTACCCCATACCCCGGGGTCTTGAGTTATTACAAAACTGGTAATTGTTTGTCCCTGACACAAAGGGCCATTACTGTTCTAGTACTATTGTAATAAAAGTATTCTGTCTTATTATTTAAATCATAAAAGTTACATATCTCATGCACCTCTTCTTCGTCGTCAAACTCGCTCCCAGAACTCTGCTGAAAAGTTTTCTCAATCCAAACAACTTTATTAATCCCTCTTGGGGCAATTGGTTTGGAGCAATTTCTTACAGGAAACATAAATAAAGATGTGATGAACTGTACTGTACGGACAACAAGTTATACAAAAGAGCTAAGATATAGAATATGACCTAAAAGGAGATACCAATGTTAAGCAAACTGATGAGTAATCAACCAGACTGGATAGAAACACAATCAAATGACCATTAGTCAACTAATAAAATATACAGCCAGTGTGACCCTGATGTCTCAGCATGCAAACCGAACGTAGAGTCAGGTGTTGCAAAGTGTTGGCAGCTTGGATGAATTAATTTGAATTTAACTTAACTGCTTAATTGGGGAAATGAGGATACGTAACCTCCTGCACTGAGTTTGTTTTTGTCTTTATGATTAAGAAATATTGAGACAAATTAAACAAAGTTTCATGTCATTTTCTTTATTTTTTTGTTTGGGGCTTTTTGTGCCTTTTTCTAGAGATAGGACAGTGGATAGAGAGAGTGTGGGATATGACATACCCAAAGGTCAGACTGAACCTGGGTCACCCGCTTGGAGGAATAGAGCCTTCATACATGGGGTGTGCTAAATAACCACTACGCTACCAGCGCCCCAACAATGTTTAATTTTGATCAATATCTACAGTAAGTCACAATCATTAAAAAATATCAACTGATCTCAGTAGGTAGGAGAGGGGAGTCATAATGAAGAGTTTGTTTTTACTTGTTTTCCTTCCATTAAGAAAGAATAATTTTGTATTTTGCTATGATGGTAGAGCCGATAAATCGGCCAGCAGATAATATCGGCCGATATTAGCTTATCCAGTGACTATCTGTATCGCCTAATTTTATCACAGATATGCGCCGATGTAACTAGATATATTCACGGGTCAAATAGCATTTCATTTGAGTTTCATTCAATTAAACTAGCAGTTCTCTGTCACCAGCAGAGGGTGCTATATGGATTGCAACAAGCACCAGAGTGTCAAACTGTGATGCACAAACGTGCACAGTCACTTTCCAGCTGAGTGACCGTCTTGTCTTTGTTATATATCATTTCCACGTGTTTGATAACTGCATTTGAAGGATCAACATAATATACACCGGTGTATCTATCTTTGCAGATAATAAAGGTATTAGCTGATATATATCGGTATCAGGTTTTTTTCCCCCAATATCGGTATTGATATCGGCCGCTAAATTTCAATATCGGTCACGCCCTACTATATGATATGAGATTATTTTTTGGTTTTCCTGTGGCCTCAGTTTTAACCTAGTGTATGTTAAATATTTTGGTAGGATGGGGCTCAAAAACAGCATCAGTGAGTGAAGAATAATTGGAATACAAAAAAGCAGTAATTAGTACACTATTAAATAACAAGCCTTTGTGTAATCGTGCCAAAACACCGCCTGGTTCAGCAGATCTGATGGATGTGACTAATTTTACTCAGAACTCTTCTGTTGAAGGGATTTGGTGCCAAACTTGTTGAAACTCGAACAAAAACAGGCACACAAAAACAAAACAGTAGATCATTTCTGAAATAGACCGAGCTAGGACATAATCACTTTGATTGTCACTTCCATCCGCCTCTTCATATCTGTGCACAGACTGAACCGACATGATCTCTTCTTCATGGAAATGTCCATTAAGATAAAACAAAGGCAGCGATTCAAAAAGTGTGGAGAAAATAAAAGAAACAAGTTTTTACTTCATAAATGTCAGGTTTAATGAATATTTTCTTCATATTTACGACGTGTTATAAGAACAAGAACCGACCTCAGCCATGATACATTTTCTTTCTCGGCTGAGGAACATTCAGACAGGTAAACACCCACAGGACAGTTCAGAAGGTGATGCACTCATTAAAACATTAACATCACCTGAACTTTTGCTACCAAAACAGCATGAGGGCATCTTAGAATATTTAGATTTTTCTGGTATCTGGTCCCAAAACGACAGCTTACCCAAAGGCGTGTTTAAATGTCAGCAGGAAGGAGATTGTACCTCACAACCTGTCAGTCAGCTGAGGGGAAAACACGGACGTGGACATTAATCCAAAAGAACAGTGTGTGAGGAGAGGAGAGGCGAGGAGAGGAGAGGCGGTGTCATGGTTCGCTTTTTTTCCCACAAGTTAACTAAAAAAGGGAGAAAGTAGATGTGAACAGATGTACTGTATTTTTAAAACTCTTCAGTGGGATTATAAAAATGCAAGATTAACAACAAACTAACTGTGTTTACTTGTGTGCCCTGCAGCTACGCCACCAACGCTGATCCACAATAATAATCCCCAGCTGGAGAACAAACAGCATCTGGGCGAGGAGAGGAAGGAGCGGGAGGAGTCTCAGCAGGGTGGGCGGCAGATGGTTACACTGCAGCAGCACTTCTCCAGGTAAAATACCTTGACCACAAAGCAGACAGGCTGCAGACAGTCACACACTGTGCCAGAGCCTGACTGACAGAGGTTATTAAAATGCAAACACCAAAACAGATTACGGAGAACTTTATCGACCATGCACATCAAAGTCTGTTTACAAGTCTTGGGGAGAGACATTTATTCTGTGCAATGAAAAAATATAAATCCTTTGTTGCTCCAGTGGGAGCAGCAAACAGTTATATAATGTTTGTTAAACTATTTAATTTTTGTTGTTAAAATGTAAAAATCTTAGCGAGAAGCTGCAAAGAAGTGAGCTCTGAAGACGGTTGCTCACTCCACTCGAATGTTCCCGTGAAATAAGTTTTTCTTTAAGACTACATCTTCCACTGATCTTCACTTGTTAGCCAGTATGTGGTCCAACAATGAAAAAGGTTGTTTTTTAGTTTGCCAAAAAAAGTGTATAAAATGTTTCACCGGGGTGTTTATTGATACGGCTCCAATGACCCGCTTTCCAACATACTGTACTGTATGTACATGATCTTCTTGCTTTCAAGCAATTAAGAGGCAAATGTTTAAAATGCTACAGCCAGTCTGAGCTACTAAAGGCTTTATTCCATCCATCAAACCACCCATCCATCCATCCATCAAACCATCCGTCCATCCATCCATTCATCCATCCATCCATCCATCCATCCATCCATCCATCCATCCATCCATCCATCCATCTATCAATCCATCCATTTACCCATCCATCCATTTACCCATCCATCCATCCATCCATCCATCCATCCATCCATCCATCCATCTATCCATCCATCCATTCATCCATTTACCCATCCATCTATCCATCCATCTATCCATCCATCCATCCATCCATCCATCCATCCATCCATTTACCCATCCATCCATCCATCTATCCATCCATCCATTTACCCATCCATCCATTTACCCATCCATCCATCCATCCATCCATCCATTTATCCAGCAATCTTTATTTGTATAGCGCCAATTCAAAACATTTTTATCTTGAGACACTTTACAAAAGAATGTAAAAGACCTTATTCATTGTTTAGTTACAAAAGAAAAATGGGTTGGGGGGATGGGATAAGATGCAGGACGAAGGATAGGGACAAAAAGAGGGTGGGATGGGGTGTCCATAGCAGCAAATCCATCCATCCATCTATCTGTCCATCAAATCTTCCTTTTCTTGCAAACTCTTACCATGAATTTTCCCACTTAAGTGAAAAAACATTCTCCAGTTGACCTTGGTAGATATTGATGCCTATGATATTGATGATGTACAAAAACTGCACATTTCAGTTTCATAAAAGCAGAATTAACTTATTGTATTTCTTATTTGCAGTATTTATCAAATTGTGTTGCCCTCTATACTTTTTCATTCACTGATGCTCGTCAGTTAAAGTGACATGGGGATTTTACTTTGAGACAAAGTGTTCCAGAAAGTTTTTATCACGAGTTCATATCTTGTTAGATTAAAAGCCAGTGGCCACAACTTTAAATGGCAAAAGAAGCAACACACACACATAATGCATTAACACACATTCATCAAAGGCCGAACACACCAAATGTGATGAACTGCTGCGCCTCTGTGGTGACATTCAACGTTTTCATTAAGTTAAAAGCACACTTCATGTAGAGATCGTCTTTAAAAGAAAACATATCTGCAATTTTAGTGGAACACTTAACACTCAAAACTGATACGAAGTGTCAACCTCCTGCAGCATGAGACTACTAATGTGTTGCCACTTTATTGATCTTCAACCCAGCGTGCTATAAAGGGAAATAATAACCGAGCATTAAGTCCAGCCAACTGTTAGGCAGCTGCCGGCCCCTCATGATCCCAGTTCGATCCCATCTGCATTTGCTCAGCGGGCTGTGAGATTACCCTGATGATTTGTGACTGTGAATTAATTCACTCCTGTCATGTGGAAGATATTTGAACTGCTGCCCAATATTTAGGGAAATGAGAAATTAAAAGTTTTTTATCTCTCTGTGGTTAGCACATGGTGATGGGTCAGTCAGCTGTGAAACACAACCGAAAAAAAGTCTTAAAGTTTCTATGATTGGCAAAAAAAAGATTCTTCTACACTTCAGAATAAATGACAATGAAAGTTGTTATTAGTATGACTTCACCATTGATTGGTTGTATATTTTAAATCTTTAATCAACTTAAGAGTTTTTGAATATTTCCCATTTGGTACAACACAGATCAAAAACTAACCACAGGTTAACCCAAAGTTCACACAAGACGCAAGACAGTGATTTCATGCACATTATATATTTCCCCTCAAGTAGTACAGGAATGAGAGGAGGATCATCAGTTAAATAGAAAATAAAAACACAATGTCGACGTTATTTAGTAGATGTGTTGTGATGTGATGCAGTAGCTGCTTAAAGAAGCTAACTAAACGATGCTGCTTTTAAATGAATAAAAATGCTTGTTCCTGTTGTGTCAGTATTTAAATAAGTGTATGAATGTGCTTTAAATATTAAGAAACCAGATTGATTCTGAAGAATAGGAGCAGGGTTCTTCTGTATACAGCTGATGTCCTCTTCATCTATGTAGGTAAAGAGGATGCGTTACTATACGTGGAGGAATCGAGGTCGTTCATTCAGACGTCGTTGTTCCTCTTCAGCTGACGGTCGTGCTTTGAAAAGTTTGGCCCGCAGCAAAAAGTCAGCGAGCAGAAAACCCGTCTGGTGAAAGGAAAAGGGTCCTTTCCATTCAAGACAAATCTGCATTGAGTCACTGGAGCAGTGTCATATACAGACTGTTGACATACTGTACATGTATGCATGGCTGCACATTTGTGTCTTCATGTTCGACACAGCAGGAGTCGACCTCAGAGCAAACAGAGAACGATGTATGAAAGGAAACTTCACCCTCACATGAGTGATGGTCACTCATTGGTGGGACATATTCAATACATCACTCATACAGTGGATATATATCAATATAGTTACAAAAGTAGTGAAACAAACATATTAAATTTACAAACAAGACCAATTACAGAAAACAGGAAACATTTTTCATGAAGACCATATGAAAAGCACGCCATGTTGGGGAGTGCCGATAGCCTTGCGGTTGTGTTGTAGGTCCCATGTACGGGGGGCTCCTGTTTTTTTTTTTCTTTTGTGACTAATGTCAGCGTGTAGCACTGCCTCATGGACGACCTCGGCGGTGCAGATTTCTACTGGATACATACTCCATTTATAACTGGGCTACACTGTGTCGTGCTGGTATGATGTCACACTATTACGTCGCTGACTCCGCTTACCGATGGAGAGTACGGTTGGCAGTGGAAAAGCAAACTAACCGTACCAAACTGCACCAAACCAAATCAGACTGCTTGGTGGAAACGGGGCTTAAGTAAAATCTCAAAGGGGACTTTTAACTGTGACTGGAATCCTGATTTATTGGGGTAAAATGATAAAGTGTCATTGGCCCATACATTAACCCCGACTGCTACCCCATGAGACCTTCTTACTACGACTAAGAGCGACTGCTCTGACTATAATGATGTACTAAAGATGGATTCACATTACAGTTTGTAAGCTCTCATGCAGATGCTAAAAGGGGCATTGCGCATCTGTTTGAGACGCCAAGGGCTGTAACAGAGTGTATTTATTTGACTATTGAGAGTTGGCTAACATTAGCTTCTTACCTACTTGCTCATTGCTGGTTGAATCATTAGCTAAGTAATGAGATGCATTAATGTACCAGATAGACTTGATTATCATATCAGGCAAACCTCACTTTAAGTTTGACTTTTTAAGAAGATAATCGTTTGAAACAAGACAGAATATTCTCATTAAGGTCTTTTAGCAGTGTCCTTTGTTTTTTTTAGGTGATGTGTAAAGTTCACCAGTTTTGAGTTTATTATTCCTGGGTAATCTGGTGAAGGAGTTTTAATCTGTCTCTCGTGAGTTTTTTCAGTGTTGCCAAAGCAACAGTGTAACCGTCTGATAAATCTTTGTTCCTGATGGCTGAGTCAGAGCCAAACAAAAATTCATTCAGCAGCACATCTGAAAAGCGGCTGAACACAGAGGAACAATTGGACCGCAGATATTTCTCCTGCCAAACTGCAGTCATGAGACTGGGATGGAGCGTACGAGGCCTTGTTAGAGTGAAGCCAGACAGGGTGGGAACTTGTTTTTCCCCCTTTATGAGAGCTCTCAGCTGCACATTATGTCCCACATGGTCCACAGGGAGACCAACAGACCCATTTTCCATCGCCCAATCACAAATACAGAGCAGTGACTAACGCTGAGCTGAGGACTCGGAGGACCCGTGCGGGTTCACTTGATTTTAAATGACCAGGCCTGGGGAGAGTCAGTAGGAGAGCAGCATGGGGTGAGTGATGATGAAGCGAGGGGGAAAGTGGAGGCAATGAATGAAATATTTTCAGAGAATAACATGAATTTTAGAAAGGACGCAGGTGTTCAACTTCAAGGGGAGCAGACCTGATGAGCTGAAACTCTTAAAGAGGGCCAGCTCTGTTGTTAGAATTATTCGTTTTGAATTGCAGCAATTCTACTTTGTGTCACTTTAATGGAAAGACGAAGCCATGGCTTTCTTTTTTCATATAAAAAGAAATCTTACAAAAGATTGTAAGCTGTATAAGAGGATGGCATCGAGCTATTGATTACATTTTGTTTCACAGAAATAACAGGCGACAATGATGACAGAGCAACACTGCATCTTAATCAGTTATATCAAACCAGGATCGATTTGTCCTGGGCCTAAGCCCAGCATAAGATGCTGAAAAACAGATGTCCTGGGTCTTTCAAGCAGTTCACCCAATGTTGGCACTGGGGTTGTCACAATAACAGAGTTTTAACCTTCAATACTATACGCGTAAAAAATCCACCCATATCAATGCCTCTTTGAATACCATGTCAACACACCTCCTCTGCTCCCCGTCTGTTTTTAAGAGACAAAAATGTAACTTTTGCATCTTCTTGACTCCAAAAGGACTTCAGACATGTCAGTATTTGAGTATTTTGTGAATTTGAATAGACCACCCCTGCTCTCTATTGAGCCAGCTTTGAGTTAGAAATTTGAATTTCTCTATTTGTTTTTTTTTTTTTTAAAGCTTTGGTTACAAAATCAGAGGTTGTATCGTTTTAAAACATGTGGAATCTAAGTATTGAAGATTTTGACAACCTGAGCTGGTACAGAAACTTCTATCAAAATTGCATTAAAAAAGATGAATGAATGAATATACCTTTGACTTTGGCTAATTTACGACTATACAGGAAGGGCCGTTCAGTTTAAACAACCCTTGAATTCCTATTTAGAAGCATAAAGCGATCATTGATCAGACAGAGTTTTAACACACAATGTGTGTATTGTTTCAAAGAGAATCACCTGCCTAAAGACGCTAAGTGATGACTAATCTGGCTAAAAATGTGGAATTCCTCTTCAAGATTGCATGTCAGACATTTTTGCAAAACATCACTGGTTAAAACATTCCAGCAGTTACAGACAATTGTGTGTCCGCCTTTACCTGATCTTATAAGTCTTATATTCACTTTTCTTTAACTGTATTTGAGTCTCCACCAACATTTGAGTAAAATACTTTCTCATTAGCTTCATAAAGCTCAACTATGTTCACCTGCTAGTCCCTAACCTTGTGCAGAGTTTGGTTTTCAGTGTTTTTCAAGCTTTCCCTCTGAGTGACGGAAATCAATGAACTCACAGCTTTGAGATTAACCATTTGATTATTTTTAGGGTAACAGTCTTGACTTTATGTAGCTGTAGCTTTTGGGTCTTTTTTCCTTTTCGGATCTTTCTGACGTCGCAGAACTAAAGCACATATCCTCCTTGTAGTTTCTAAATTGGATGATAATTGCTAAAAATCTTACGATGCGCCATCTTTTAAACATTCAGTTGTCTCCATAACTGATTAGCTTCTGCAGTAAAATGCTCCACGTATGGCCTGCACTGATGTACAGTTTCAGAACATTTCATATTTGGTGTAAACACATTCAGATAAAAGGTTGAAGCGTGTGTGGGTTATCGTTTTGAAGCGTACAGTTTGCCATTTTGGTCATCAGGTGAAAATATTGTTGATGAGAATATGTACTAAAAGTTCCCCTCTCTTTTTAGGTCATGGTAGCTGTTGCAGTCACAATCACAGGTAGCCCCGCCCGCCCTTAAGAATACCCTGTTCTTCTATTTTACTCTTCATGGGAGCATCGTTTACAGAATGATGGTAGTGCTGTTATGAATAAGACTTGAGACAACATTTTTAAACCGTACATGTATGTATGAGGTCATTAATCAACTTAAAAATAGACACATTTTCTCTTACATTTATCCAATCAAACTCCTTTTTGCAAACAGTGGAGTTGCCCCCTAGTGGCCATTAGAAAGACTGCAGGTTTAATTAGGTTCACCTTTGAAACCACGACACTACATCCAGTACTTCTTTTTTCTCAGTCTATCATTCAAATCAGTCTCATGCACATTCAGTTCAGTGCGGTTGATGCTGGTGAGGTTTGAACCCCCCAACACTGACGCTCTTTTCAGCCTGCTCAAACCTCTAATTAACACATGAACCACATGTGCATCCACCTCTTACACACAGAACATATATTTACATTAAAATGACTCCATTTACTGCTTTCTGGTCTTTAAACTAACCCTGAGAGCAGCGTTCCCCCTCGCACCACCCTGTCACCCGCTGCTTTCATTTAGTCCGGGTTTGTTTCAGGTCAGTGGCGGTGACTCGGGGCAGGAATGCCAATGATGTGCTTGCAGTCAGCAGCTTGTGCTAATGGCCGTGCCACATACATCAAACTGGGCTAAGAGCTGCTCTGGAAATGACAGGGCAAAATGTCACTGCATTCAACTTCATGAGCAACATAGTCAGTGCCCATCGAGCATGCACAGCTGGGAGGGGAAAACAATCACACAATCACAGAGGGACTGTACGCTGACACACCAAATGTCAGCTGGAGTGTAATGGGTGTGTTGAAGCGTGATTAATGTGTATGTATCATATGTTAAAGAACAGTCTGCAAAACACACTTTGTTCAATACTGAGCTAATCTGTATACAATCATTTGAGGCACTTCATTTTAAAGATACACTTTATACAACTGCATGTTTGAGGAATTTACTTTCTGATTTATATTCAGGCGGAATTTTTTTAACATTTCCACATTAAATTTGGGTCAAGTTAACGGAGCAATCTGTATGATATCTACTGACTGAAATGATAAAGGTACCTTACTCTATGATCAGACATTAAGGAAACATGCTATGTTGAAGTGCTGGCTTCTCTGACAACAATGCAGCAGCCAGTATGTCCTCCTTCTAACTTTAGATTCTGGTCCTGAATAATCTGGATTTGTTTGGACCAGAGAAGGTAGGCGGTTTTAAGGCTCCCCACACGGCCGTTTTGGACGCCCCTCAGTTTGTCAGATATGAGACCAGTTATCAAGTCGACCTAAAAAGCCTCTGCATGTTTCTAATAAGCTCCACGAGCAGAAACGTGCTCAAACTAGGATCAATATTGGAGAAGCTTTTGAAAAATGGAGAGAGGTTAGAACACAGAGGTTTACAGACCGATGCAGAGCTGGATAAACACTGAAGCTTCAGTGTCCGTGACATGACACCCCGCGAGCACATTGACCGATGTTTTGAAAATGGACTGCTGTATTAATTCAAAACACTATGTGTCAGAGTTAAACATTTAAACCTTAAGTTTAACTGTGAATCTTTACTACATTTCTCTATTTTTTATTAAGATAAGATAACTTGTTGTTTTGAGAAAGAGGTCACTTATAGTGTGGATTTATTTGGACATTTTAATTGAACTTACATTTTTGCCTCAGTTCTACAAGGTGTTTTATTCCTGCTTGTTGTTTTGTTTTTCCTCCCTGAAGCTTTTTCTGTTTGGATTCCTTCTTTCTGCTTTCATCAGTGTTGAGCCGCAGCAGGGAGCTGCTTCACTTCAGCCCTTTTATAACCTAACACACTATTTCTGCCGCACACCAAACAAGATACAGACAGAGTTAGAAACTTGAATTTTTTTAATAAGTTAGGAGTTGGTGGAGAACAAAACAGAGACAAAAGAGTGCAAATATTTGTTTGGTAATTATAGAGAAATGGAAACACATAGTAAATAGAAAGTTTATTTGACTTGCTTTAGAACAAACAGCTGCAAACCAACTTCATAGTCCTATGATATATAAAAATAGTTTTTACGTCTTTTTCTTGCTCCTACTAGAGGCAACAAACATCAGTTATTGCACATAAAAAAAAGTTATTTGCCATCCGTTTAAAGGCTTGTCACACCACATGTCATCTGCAGAGAGTCAATTAAAAAAATTAAAAAAGCAGCAGCTGAACTTTATTTGTGCCCCCTTAAGCACCTTTGAAATATTGAAATATTATAATAACTATATTTACGTGACCATAATTCTAAAGTTTAAGTTCAGCCTTCATTTATTTATACTGTAATAATAATAAAGGATTTGGAGATACAATAATTGATGTCACAATTCTGGATAATACTGATGTCAGCACCAAAGCAACTGCAGAGTACAAAGGGTTAAAGTTTTACAAAAATCAAGATTTGATTTATCCCTGTTGAATATGAACATAAAGTTTCATCATCATACATCTCGTGTTGAAGTATTTGTGATGCACTTCTTCCCAAACAGCTGACATCTCTGACCACTTTTTCTCGTGTTGTTTTTGATCGCAGCATGGAGGAGACGGTGCGAACGCTATTACAGAACCAGGACTCACTGGAGGGGCCCAAAGTGGACCCCCTGGACCTCATGAAAGCATACAAGGTACAAGAAGGACCTCCTCGTCAACACCACCGTCACATGTTTCGACTACAAAAGTTTGTGCAAAATCATAGAAAAGTGGACATTTTTATTTACTCAGAGGTGGCAGTGTGTTGTATCTGGATTTTGTACCATTATATCTTATATATTTAATCTGGAGCCCACTGTGATACAGAGAACTTATTCTTCATTTCTTTGTGACTGTGGCTGACTCTTTGATCTGCTCTCTCTGCGTTTCAGGACAAACTGCTGGAGGAGATGTGGAAGCAGCAGGACAGTCTGGAGGGTCCCACAGCCACAGCAGCAGAGATGGCTGCCTCGCCCGAGGCCGGCGGAGGGTCGGAGGAAGATTCAAAGGACAGCAATCCTCTGCTCGAGCGACTCCGAGCCCTGGAGGTAAAGAGGATTGCACGGTCCACCTCTTACACTCCCTCTGACTGCTCAACTATTCCCTACTATTCTCCATGTTCACCATATCTCATCTCTGAAATGTCAAATTCAATCTCGGAGTGAGCGATTTACATTATTAAGAGTAACATGTTTCATTTTATTAGCTTTATTCCACTCAACATGCACAGAGATGTGGAATAAGTGGGCGGCTTAAAAACAGAAAAGTATAGTTTATTCAAGGACCACACATTTATTTGATGTACATGTCACAAGATCTCAATAAACTCTCCAAGAATTTAACCTTAAGAGAAATGTCGTGAAGGCGCTGCATTATATGAATAGATAACAAATTTCTGCAGAACACTGGATCAGATATTATTCTAACGCGTTAGTAAACAAGGTCAAAAGCGTTGGCTTGTTTCAAATTTAATTATCTCTAATACAAAAAAAACCCCACAATGTCATGTGTCTTTCATTGCACCTGACGCTGCACAGCTTCATTAGAAAATACCAGTGAGGCATGTGGATGACAAACAAGAACAATCAGGGTTTGGTCATGCTCGTCTCCATCTGTGAGTATCAGAGAAAATGAGAGTCCATTAAGCTGAAGAGAGGGCCTGGGGGCAAAGACAGAGAGAAGAAAGAAACAGCAGAAGACAAAGGAGTTATTCATATCCAGGAGGTGATAATTAAAATGCTGACAGGGTGGTTAACATTTGCAGTCAGTGTTCCAGTGAATGTACAGTCACACCTTTCCTGTTGAAAGGTGAGAGGACTTACCATCTGTTGAAAGGTCTCAGTGCTATTTCTACAGATATATAAAGGCCCAAAGACGAAGTCTACAACCACCAGCAGAATTCACTTCTCTAAAACTTCTTTACATGCTCTGTTAGACTGTGTGCGGTCTCAATTATTTGCATTTTCATTTTATAAAAACATTCAAATTAAACTACTTCTTTGTTTTTGCAATAATGGGTAAAATATAAGGATGTGGCTCAGTTGGTAGAGTCTGTCGTCTTTCAACCGGAAGGTGAGGGTTCGATCCCCAGCTCCTGCAGGAACATGTCCGATGTGATCATGAATGTGTATGAATAGGATTAGTTACTTTACACAGAAGCCTCTACCATCATTGTGTGAATGTGGAGGTGTGACATGTGGTGTATAAGCACTTTGAGTTGTCAGAAGACAAGAAAAGCGCTATACAAGCTCAAGTTCATTCACCTTTTAAATTATTTTAAAATGTAATCGTTTTTTTGGGGAAGTTTTCTCACTACCACGGTTCACCCCCGTCTTGGTGGCTGGAGACACTGATTTTTTGTTTTTCTTCAGTAAAAAAGAAAAAGGTGAATATGTCAGGCGGTTATCAAAGTGATACTAAATATTGTAAAACAAAATTCATGGTTGCAGCTTGTGCAAACTTTTGTTCAACAACTGCAAACCCTTTCCTGATAACATCCTGATAATTGTTTGCGAGTTCATTTTGCAAACTACAAGTGACTGAACATCCCTCAGTGATTTTTCTGAGATGTTCATATTTCTGTGCGGGTAGTTAGTCTGATACTTAAGAGAGCTGCGTAACTACTCTGCCATTAGTGATGATCTTTGGAATGAAGTGCCGCCTTAAATCACATCAATTTCCTTGTCTTGGTTGTTGACCCTGACGGAGGATTTGGAGTGTATTTCCTGGTTATATGCCGTTACCTCTTCATGGCGCCTGCTTTTATTTTTTCCACATTTGTAATTAAACTTTGACGCTGAACTGGAGGAACATTACACGGCTCTACTTTCCAGTCATTTTCACACACTCTGGTACATTCAATACGATGAGAAATGAACACATTTACTCTAAGAACCACCGATCAGAGTTGGAAGATAAATAATAAAAGAATAGACTGAGTTGCTGTGCTTTCCACTGAGGAGAAGTCACTGACTCCTCTGAAGCTAAAAGTAATATTCAGTGGAAGTTAAGCTGATTGATGTGATGCTCTCTGCAGATCAACCGTGTTAACTCTGCACAAACAGGGATGATGGAGCACAGCGGTAAATGCACTGACAAACCCTTGGAGTGATTTAGTTTTACATTCAGGATAATTTTTCAAGCTGCAGTGCTTTATGCAGATGTAAAAACAGTTCTTACATCATTGTAATTTTACATTTTAATCCAGAATACATAATTTATTGACAGGGAAAATTGAAATTTAAAACCTTTTTTAATTGCATTCTGATATTTCACATGCTAATCGATCAAGCTCATTTGTTAATTTGATGTAATGTCACTCTTAATAGCAGGAGTTAGCTCACATAACACGTCCAGTGAAACATTTTAAAAAGTTCAAACTCATAACTTGGACTTCCCTGACCTTTACACACACAGGCTACAAGCCTTCAGGCTGATCCGTGGCCTTTTAAACAGTGTCCAAAGATCCCTTCCTAGAAAAGATCCAGCCAGAACAATCAATAGTCTTGTGTGGTGAATTATTTTTGATCAATTTCAGGATCCAAATGGTTTCATTCAGTGCTGAAAGTCATTGAACTGGGTTAAAATACTGCAGTGGTTATGTTTGCATGTAGCTTGAGGTACTTTTTTGTCCGCACGATTATAAAAAAGGGTTCTCCCTCAAAGTGTTCTGAAAGGATTTAAAAAATAAAAGATGATGATAATGCAGTTTAAAGACATTTTGGAGATGTTTGAGGTGAATATTTATTTGAAAGGATGTGGAAAGTCAGTCAGAGTAAGTGTGAGAGAAACATCGTTTTATAGTGCTGTGGATAACTTACTGTATATTTATAGCTGTGACGATGCTGCGCAGTCATTTGATACATGAGATGCACCAAACAAGGCGATCAGCACATCACACATAATGTACAAAGACGTTTCAAGTATCACTGTTCAACTGCAGAGTCAGCTCTCACAATGCAAAGAAGAAAAGGAACAAAAAGGGGAAAATATTTCTTAGATACTCTTATTACTTTACCAGCAGAAAAGGAAAACACCACTTGGACAATTTTTGTTATTTTATTTATTTTTTACTAGTTAATTATTAGCATGCTAATTGGTAGCATACTGGCTGCTTATTAGTCACCTATAGTTAATAGGGCGAAACAGGAATGAGTTCTAAAACCAAGAAGTAATTTAGCATTTTAGCGCCATGAGGTCGTTTGCCTCATACTTAGTGGGGTTTTTGAATGGGTTGATGGTATGATGCCTGAAATAAGAGCTGTTTGCACGTTAGTGAATACCCCCACTTGTGAAGTTTTTTTTATATGTGTCCTTAAAAAGGCGGTTGCTAACAAGTGGCTAAATGAAACTACAGTGCGGTTGGTTGGGAACATCATCATCCCTGTTTGAAGTTAAAATTAGACATGAGGTCTCCTGTTGGTTAAATTTTTGGGTTAAGGCAAAGAATAGGTTAATAAACAATTTATTAGGCTACGGTTTCGCTAGCTAGTCAAAACTGATAGTTAGCTTGTCTGAGGCATAGTGGTGGTGACGTTCAAGCCATGCGACCATAGTGTTAGCTTTCTACTTCTGGGGATGGCATTAACGCTTTAAACATCATAAAAGTGGAGTTAATTTGTGAAGATAAACTTTCTGAACCAAAGGTCGAAAGCATAATAAATGTGTGTTTGTTGCAGAGCTTATTTTCTGCAATGATCCAAAATTTTGATGCTAAAATCCCCATGGCGATGCTAACTTCCTTTTTGGCCTACAAAAATCTTAATATGCTTTGCTTAGTGTGGCCCTTTACAAGTTAGAAGAAAGTTAAAGGTGCCTAAATGTTCTTTCCATCATCTTTTCTCAGCTGACGGGTTTTATAGTGCAGGTTTTGGAGGGAACTGGACCCCCTCAGCACCTTTACTCTCAGTGTCCATGACCCCTGCTCACTCCTGTGAACATCCTCCCTCTCTGTGAGTTTCTGTGAGCCTGTTGTTCAGAGGAGTTGCCTGCAGCACTCAAGTGAAAACATGCCATCTCAGGTAGCCAAGCCTTTAAGATTTACTGGATTAATCATTTCAGTGGAAACTCACCTCCTGAGTTCCCTGAACGCTTCGTGTTCCCCGCAGTGCAGAACCTCTGTCAGTAATTGAATTTAGCTGGTGTATCTAAAGTGAGCCTGACAGACACAATGGAGGGCTGCAGGCTGGAGTTTGGATGCCTGAAATTTAAAGCATCATTCATTTAGAACCAACTTCACTCCTGCAGCGCTGCAGGGAGAGAAGCCTCCTCATCCATCTCTCTGTCCATCTGTGTGCCTCAGAGAAGACAGCATCATGAAAAGATCACATCTATCGCTCTACACATTTGGTTTTTCACAGACGTTACTGTATTATTTAAATATGAATATGACTTTGAGACATAAAATCTCTGTCATTCATGCAGTTTCCCTGTCCTGTGTTCTGTGTGTTCAGGCGGAGAACTCTGCTCTGTCGATGGAAAACGACAACCAGAGGAAGCAGTACGAGCGCTGTCTGGATGAGGTGAGTGCGACTGCTCTCAAAGCAATTTCTACAACAAACAGAGACTGTTCATGCAGAATGAGTATTTGTCTCATCTTTAATTGGAAGTGAACAGAATTATTACTCGACTGAAGTTGTATCTTGTGTTGATGATAACGGTTTGCACAAGCAAACACTGACACTCTTCAAACCTCAGATTCACACACTGTAAACATTGCATGTTTTCCCCTGTATCTAAGAGGATTAAGAGAAACCACATTATTACTCAATGGATGTGAAAATAGGAAAAGAAAGCTGCACACTTAGTCCTATCATTTTCAGAGTCAAATGTTATTAAAAATGTCTTCACGATGCTCAAGAATATTGAGAAATGGTCTAACTAGGTTTACTAGGTTTTCTAGCAGACATAATACAAGTAAATAATACAATAATGCAAGTAAAGAAATCTTTCTGAAAGTTACGCTGATATAAATCACTGTAGGGTAAAATATGGATGCATAGCTTAGTTTAGCTTAGCTTCAGGAGCACTTATGTGTTCTGTATCCTGCACAAAGACACGCCGACATGCAGAAGGGAGGAGAGAGAATGATTCACACAGTTACAGCTTGGATTTGTATTCTTTGCCCGTTAGTAAACAAGATGGAAATTATTGCCTCAGAAACTTAAAATTGTTGTCCCAAAATATCAGTGCAGAACATGTTATTGGTGAAGACACAATTTAGATTTAGTGGCAAACTAAGGCTGTTTTTGAAATCACACTCACTATACTGTGATTACACCAGAGCACTTAAGTGAGCATTTTCATACCTTGTATCCCACAATGCAATGGAAAAAGTGGTCACTGTCCAAGCAATATATATACCATCATGCATTGCGGTTCAAGTATTTTTGCAAACAGAAAGTGGCGTCTGACTCTGACTGTTCTCAGACAGAGGAAAGGAGCGGGACCAGCATGAACACATAACACAGAAACACAAAAAGTTCATGTTTGGGGGCATTTTGATTAAAATCTAAAAGCCTTTTTAATGAGGAGTGAAGGATTCTCCACGGAGTAATGTTAGTACTTCCTAATGATGCTGACATGGACTGCAAGAGTCTGTAAAAGCAAATAATTGGGTTTCTGTGCAAAAAAAGTAAAGCTGCACGTTTTAGTTGTGCAACGGTGATAATGTTGTTATAAGTGACCGGCATGCGAGCGAGGAGCGTTCACTTCTGAGATCTCCACATGAGGGAGGAGGGCATGAGTGTGTGATTTCAGACACAACCTAACAGATTCATTGGCATTTATAAGGTTAACAGTTTATGGTCAAAGAAATGGGACAGGCTTCGGCTACTGAATCGCAATGCATCCTGGTACATGTAGGCAACTCCGGCTTTTTACACAGCAACTACTAACAGAGGAATACATTGCTTTAATTGTCTACATTAAACATCAACATTAAAATAGCAATAAGAACTGATAAACACTCACTGAAATATCTACAAATGATTTGACTAAATTGGATGAATGTCGGCTTCTCCATCTTCTCCAACACACACACACACACACACACACACACACACACAGAGACACACACACACACACACACACACACACACACACACACACACACACACACACACACACACACACACACACACACACAGAGAGAGACCATGTCTCATAGGGAGGCCCACAGAGGACAGGAAGAGAAGGGAACATCTCTAATTGAAGTGGACAGACAGCAGAGCTCGGGGCGTTGTGTGATGAGAGCTGGACGGTCGAATGTCAGCGCTCAGGAGGACGGACCTTCAGTGCGTCTACCTGTTCCTCTCTCCTCTGCTCTCCCTGACGACTCTTTGATTGTCTCTCCGTCTCATCCCGTCTTTCCTTCATCTCTCTCCAGCCAGCGAGTCTGCTCCACTTAACTTTTTTTTAGAAGCCTTCACTAATGGGCTTGTTACTATGGAGATTGCTGCCCATGAGAATTTAACATAATGGTTGAGGACAGAAAAATTTCAGACTCTCAGCTATGGGATTCATTTCTCCTCTCCTGCTTTCAGTCTCATTATGCGCATTAATCTTTTTTTGGTGGAAAGCATTCAGAAGGCTTCCTGTCATGGTCTGAATGAGCTGAGGCGAGTCGTTTTTGATTGAAAGATGAAAGAGGCGAAGGGAAATCATTTGGCGGCAGACAAAAGTGGAAACATAGTTATTATTCCAGCGTCGAGGTATAATGTGTGCTTCCACTCTGAAATCAAAATAAGAAAGAAAGGAGGCAGTCCAGGTGATAACGCTGAAATGAAAACTTAACTTTTTCCTCGAAATTCGTATAGAAAAGGAAAATAAGAAACATCTAGGAGAGGAAACAGACTCTACAAAAAGAAACTATTCAAAAAGACGTGTATGTTTGTATATTTTGGTTTCTCTGTGTTCTGAGGATAAAGTTTGCTCTAATAACTGGAGGAAGCTGCTGTGTGATTCTTCTCAATCTGGCTGTGATGCAACATGCTGTCAATTTGTCCTCACTGCATTAAACATGCTGCAGGATTCTCTCTGATGGTGTTTGCACTCGGTCATTTTTCATTTACAGTCTCCCTGTGTCGGAAAGCAAAGAAATACACACTTAAAATTACTAACTGACTCATAACAACACTTTGTTTTTATCATGTTTTAAATTATTTTCTCTTGTCTCCTCAAGGTGGCGAACCAGGTGGTCCAGGCCCTCCTCACACAGAAGGTTTGTCTCTGTCTCTGAAGCTTGAGTTTTGACACCTTTAATCCAGTCAGCTCTTAGGATGAGGTCAGGGCTCATGAGACATGAAGGAATGAAGGACTTTTTTTTCGAACCAAAAATTAAAATGAGATCATAAAAAAAAAAGTAACAGTGATAGAAAAGGTGGAAGGAAAATGTATCCCTTCCCCCTCCTCGCTTTTCTTCTATTAGTTGATATATTAATCCAACAAATGCTCACATGTATTTACAACTAATATACACATGTATCCCCAGTTTGTTTGCCATAATGCAACACAAAACAAATTAACTTTATAGCTTTTTGAACTTAAAAAACATCTCTTAACTATGACGGAGTAATAGGGTCACATAATAGAAAAACCCCTCAGAGATTATGATCTCATAGTCATAATAGCAGGAGTTTAAAGTTGTAAATTTACGAGAATAAAGTCGAAAAACATGACATTTTGAATATTTTCTGTGTGAAAGGTTGAAAGCAAAAAGAGTGTTGGGGAGGCAGTCTATGAAGGTGCAGCTCTTTACAACTTAGCAACCCTGAGTCATGACCTCCTTCTTTTTTTACATAAATATATGCTGCTTTGAATATAAAATATAGTCTCCAAACATGGATCAGTGTCAGACTTGTGTCATTATTTGTTATTGTTTGTTATTGTTTTGACTCAACTTGAATAATAGACTCCTGATTTGGAATGACTCAACTTCTTCCCAAGCCTAGACTTAAAGGTCACAATTTATTCTCCTCTTCAACCAGTTTAACTAAGTCTCATAGCTCCTCAAAAACATGCCTATAAACCCCTCTATTTCAGCCCTGCACAGAACAGGCTGTTTCTGTGTCTGTACCTTTAAATGTAAATGAGCTGTGTCTGACCACGCCCCCTCTCTGCAAGGGCTTGGGTGGATCTGGCTTTCTCGCTCCATGTCCTATTGTTTACGGTGAGAAGGCAGACTCAGAGGGCAGAACAAACACCTAGCTGTAGTAGTGTAACCCACCTGGGGGAGGGGTTACTGCCCTTTGTGATGTCATGAAGGGAAAATCTCCAAACGGCCTGTTTGAGCACACATTTTCTAAAAAGTGCAGCAGGCTAAAGACAGAAAGGATTGACTTTTCTCATAACTGGGGGAGTTTGTCGACAGACTAGGGACACATGTTATTTTGCACGTATTTGCATAATTTGTGACCTTTAAAATGTTCTACAAAACTTATATCATTATGTACCGTTGCTGTAAATAAAGCATCTTAAATACATCTCTTTCTCGGAAATATCCACCATCGTCATTCACAGTTATTTTCCTTTCTGGATGCTTTCTAGGACCTGAAGGAGGAGTGTGTGAAGCTGCGGACACGTGTGTTTGACTTGGAGCAGCAGAACCGCATACTGAGTGTGCTGTTTCAACAACGGGTCAAGATGTCCACGAATCCCGTCTCCCAAGTAAGAACACACGGCAGCACGATACACACACACCGACACAACTGAGTGAATATTACATGAGCAGAGCTACACCTTTAAAGGTTACTACCTTCAAAAAGAGACAGAATCCACCCAGAATAACTGGAATTCAAATCTTGAGGAGAACCCATTTTACTGTCCGATTAGGGACTGAAAATGGATTAAATGTCGACTTTTATTCCTCCATTCTTACACTCCTACAGTTCGTTGAGAGTCTGCTTGAGGCTGGCTCCAGGAACATCGGAAGTCACATACACATACAGCATAACTTATCATCTTTACAGCCTGGTTCTAAAAACAAATTAGGTCTGATTAGTTATTGTCATCACTGGCACACACTGTACGGGGGGTGAATTTTTTTTTGAACGGCTCCGTTTTGATTTAGAAAACTCAACGAATTATCCATAGTTAGGCATGTAGCTGACCTGATTGACAGTTGGGTGCGATGAAACGATTTGTCAAGAGGCTTAAAACCCGCCTCAGCTCCAGTTCTCAGCCTGTTGTTAGGTTGACTGAAAGTTATGCTGAGACAGGATTTCCATCATGGCGGCTGCTGATGAGCCCCCAGAACCCCCTGCAGGAACAGATGGGTGACGTCACTCAAGCTTCGTCCATTAATATTTACAGTCTATGGCAGTGGTTCTCAAACTATGGTACGCGTACCACCGGTGGTACGTGGGCTCCCTGTGGTGGTACGCAAAGAAATCTCCACAATATAAAAAACAAACCTGTCCAGCATAAAACGACAATTTTTTTTTGTCGTACTCTTATCTGTCTTGTTTCTATTGGGTTGACTTTAACTTCAACTTTAATCTGCTCAATTTATGATCGCACACAGACATAAACCAAAACAGGAGAGTACGCCTCACGTTTTGAAAAGTTCCACTCGATATTCCGTTAAAGTTCAGTACTGAAACAACAGCAAGCAGCTGTAGTCCTACATTAACAGATATTCTGTTAATGTAGTCTTCATTAACAGATATTCTGTTAATGTAGTCTTCATTAACAGATATTCTGTTAATGTAGTCTTCATTAACAGATATTCTGTTAATGTAGTCTTCATTAACAGATATTCTGTTAATGTAGTCTTCATTAACAGATATTCTGTTAATGTAGTCTTCATTAACAGATATTCTGTTAATGTAGTCTTCATTAACAGATATTCTGTTAACAGATTCTGTTAATGTAGTCCTACATTAACAGATATTCTGTTAATGTAGTCTTCATTAACAGATATTCTGTTAACAGATTCTGTTAATGTAGGCCTACATTAACAGAATCTGATACTTGGAGAGCCAAATATTTTCGGAGGTGGTACGCAGTCTAAAAAGTTTGAGAACCACTGGTCTATGGTATATGCTTAATGCTATGCAGGTTGTTAAACAATCCAAATCAGTATGTCAGACATTCAGCAAGTTATTGTTGTTAAGGCTGTACTGATGTGCACTGAGTAGTGCGTACCCATAAAATCACTGTGTGAGTTAGCGAAGTACTACATTTTTTTGATTTGGTTTATTTATTTTTTCATTGTTTTAGTAAACATTTATTTTAAAGATACAAAATTACTCTCCTCCAGAGTATACTGTTACAAATTACATTTGACCTTGTTCTAGCCCCGTCACATTCCATTACAAGCTGCAATGAGAGGGTAAACGTGAGAGATTTCTGCCAGTCATTGTTCTGATTTATGACTCATAATATTGTTTCACTCTGATAAAGTATGGGCATATTATACATTTCCTGAATCCTTAGAGGCTTGTGAGTATTCCAGTTTCTGTGTTTTGTGTCCCTGATGTTCCTAGATATCACAGGGCTAAATGAGAAAGTATATTTTAGGCGGAAATTGGGGGAAAATTTATGTTTTTTTTACAATTTCAAGAGCCACAGTTACCTCAATGTATGTCTGAAAGATTCGGGGTGTCTCTTCATGAGCTGGTTTCTGTGACTCAGCTGCCACTCAGGAAAGTCTATCATACCAAAATATAATCTACAGACATGGACATTTCTAAAAATCATCACTAAGTTTTGTCACCTTGAGTGGTACCGACAATTGAAATGTTGGGCTCTGGCCCATGGAAGAATAGGACTCTGAGATAAAGCTGCACACTCTGAGCTGCAGAGCATCGGGGATAAGTGGTTTAAAGTGGTCAATAGATATTGCTCAAAGACTTTTCAAAGCATTTTTGCACCTTTTATCTCATTGATTAGGATTTTATGGCTTTCTATCTTTTGATTTGTTTTGTTATTCCAGACAATAGTTGTGTTTTTATTTAATGTGATTGTGTATTTAAAAAAATATATATTTTGCTAATTGTATGAGCTGGGTGATGATGCATGTTAGTTTGTCTTTTCCTTTGACGGAAGTACAGTGTCTTTGAGTACCCATTTTGCATTATTAGCATAGCTATTTATATTATTAGTATCACCATTAATTGAAGTTAGCAGCTAGCTGATGAACATTAAAGTGGACTTAGCAGACAGAGATCCAGATTACCTTTCAGGATGTCGTTATGATCTAAACGGTTTTCTTATATGTACACTTGATAAAAAGAGAGTGCAAATATTTTGTTTTTGAGATGATTATGCAGCACCCTCCTAAAACAAAAACAAATGAAATCCAACTCTAAGCTTAGATTAAGGTAGTTGCCCACGTTGAATTTATTCATCTGTTTTTTAGCAGGGATAACCCACTGACACTGAGGTCTTGTTTCCTGCAGCAATACAATAAAAAAAAACAGGACAAGAAAACATATAGCACAGTTCAAATCATTAAAAATACTTAAACAACACTGATGCTTGCAAACCCATGCACAGGTTAAAAGGTCACATTTTAAAGCAGGTACAATTACTTTTCTTTAGTAGTTCAGACAGTAGCTATAGATACAAAAGAAGGCAGCTTAGACGTCATTCGAAAATTGTTCCACATAACAGGTGCAGCAACAGTAAAAGCAGTCTTTCCCCATTCAGTCCAGATTCTATCCAGTCCATATGGTTGCCAGATCTGTCACAATAACACATTCTCCCTCCAGCGCGCCAAAAAATGACGGCCTGGTCAGTGGCTCTTTGCACAGCTTTGAGGACAAGTTAGCTAAAAAAGTATGCCACGCCACCTGATGCCAATGAACTAAAATGTTCATGTTTCACCTCTCTAAGAGAAGTGTTAAACCATAAACTGCAGTAATGCCTCACCTCTCCATTTCCCCCTGCAGCAACAGTGAAATGAACTATAACAGCAGGTTGTAGAAATGAATTCTCCTTTAACCTCTTCCTCCAGCCGTGGTTTGATCCTCAGGTTAGTTTGTGTAACCTTGCTGACAGGCTGTGTTTAAATGCTTTGATCAGTGTGCGACTATAATGAGGCAGCTGTGCACGGTGACGGCTGAAAAGCCCTTTTTAAACCGATGAAAATCTCTTCAGATCTGGAGGATGTTAAACATGAGAAAGGTGATACGTGTCCTTCTTTCTGTGTATTGGTTTGTCTTTTTTAAAGAGAGGATTAAACTCATTCATCTTTATCATAAATGTCAGGGTGAATCAAGATAATTCAGAAACTCTGAATAGTACATTTGGTTTGATTTGAGTATACAGTATATTATCAAACTGAATATCCAAACAGAATAAACAAATCAATAATTCACATTTTCCGCTGACCACAACAAAAAGCAATGTGTTGCAATGTCTAGAAACTCTAGTGGTGAAACTTACTGAGTAAAAAATTTGAAGTTAGCTGGCCGGCTCAGTTGTAAATAATTGATGATGGATCGTACTTCTGATGGACGGATGATTTCTGTTACAGTCTGAGCTGAATACTGAAAGGAAACAGGAACCGATGGAAGCTGCAAGTGACAGAAATGTTATAAAGAATCTGAACTCTATTGTATCACACAGGAACTCTTGCTAAATCCAGTCTATTTGGACTTACTCTTCTTCTTCTTCATGCCAAAACCTCACAGTTGATTGTAGTACCAGAGGACATCCAGACTTTCTCTAAATAACTTAAGTTCTGTTAATATGACCCCTCTGTCTCTCTCAGAGTCATAATCATTATGCAGAAAGGCAGATGAGATGTTTCTTTGTTTCTAAAGGTCTCTGTGCTTGTCGGGCTCTCAGCGTGACTCCTCTCCTCTGACAGACTGCAGTTTTCTGTTTTCACGAGACCACTTTGACTTCACAGACAAATTTGGCAATTAACAGAAATGTTGAACATTGTAGATTATTTTCTTCCAGCTTCATAAAACTGGTCATGGAAAAGGGTGGAATTCCCAGACCTGGTCATTAAGTATGCTTCAAAGCCGAGCCGAGCAGGACTCGCTGTCCTTCTTCTTTAACCTTTTCACTAAAGGTCAAACCAGCAGAGGAGTTCTGTCTTTGTAGGACTGAATGTATCAGAGCAGAGCTACTGCTGCTGAAAGCAAGTTTTATAAATCCTGACAATCAACGTTAGAGTCTGAATAAACACGTTCACATTGTTCATTTACAGTTGATTCAACATTTGCTTCAGTGTGTCGAGTTTAAAGTTATCTGTTTGTCTTTAGTGACAGAATGAGCATGCATAAGTGGGCAAGATTCAATTACTGTAGTTTGCTGAGTTCTTTGAGTTTCAGACAGTCTCAGTTCATAATATCACAGAATTGTTCTTCTTAAAGATTTATTTTTCTGGCTTTTTATGCCTTTATGGGAGAGACAGGACGGAGGATAGAGTCAAAATTAAGTTTTACAGATACTTTCCAACTCATTTTGCTGATGTAATAGTTCTTATTGCCCGATGAAGCATTAACTGGTATACTTATCAAAGAAGAGATCGTTTGATTTTCCAAACCTTTAACAATAATCACATGACTTTTCTCTGATTATACACTCAGTGTAGAGGGTTTTTATTTCTTTGCCAGTAAATGGACGTTGTTGACACTACATTAGTTTGTGACTTTGGATGGAGAATTATAAATCTTATTGATTAATTTGCATGTTTCAACAGGCATAATGGAGCAAGAAAAATCCAGTTAACAACACAACACTGCCGGCAGCATGAGTCAGAAAAGCCTTTTATGTGTTGAAAGCTGCCTTTGATTTCCTAATGCAACATTTTCCGATATCCAGGAGGCTAAATACGTATAGTGTAAGATAATTATGTTAACGCCTAAAGCTTGAATATGAACTACAGTTGTTATATTTCTTTCCTCTTAAGACACAAACAAAACTTTTGAGAGCAACCCCCCCGCATTAAAATGATTGCTTTCAGTTGTTAGTCATGTCTTCTTGACAAAAGGAACAGATCCGACTTCCTGCTGTGCAGCTGAAGCACATTTTATTTGTGGTTTTGTATACTGCAGGAATTTACTGAGTTTTTGAAGTTCTTAGAGAAGTTAGGGAATGTGTAGATGTGAATCTGATTTGTTCAAATAACAAGACGAACACCTTCTTGTGCTGGATATATCTGGTCCTTTAAGAGCTTAATGCTTGATGTTCAACTGCCTTGATTGGCTGATAGTGTACAAAGGACGTATCAGAAATTGTCTCTTATATCTCTCATAAGTATTTTCTGTCTCGTCTGAACCAAAACAGTTTACCTGTTAGTTATAAAAACAATTGATAGAAGCCAATAAATATTTGATTTGAACCATCGTATATATCTATATATGTGCATGTATCTATCATGTCAGGGAGCACAAATGAGCAAGAAAAATAAGTATTTTGACTGCAATACAAAAAACCTTTCATGCAAAGTGCTTCTAAATTACATCCCAGCTGCATCAGGAAATTCTGCCAGAAAGCTTTCTCTTCCACCTATAGGAGTCCGCGGTGTGCAGCTTGTGTAACTAGAAGTCAATGTTCTTGTCTTATTTTGTCCAAACCATGATTTTTTTCCCCCTAAACTATCTGTCACAAGATGGTTAGTTTTTGTTGCTGAAAACAAAGAAGCAGTGGCACTATGTTAAAGTGAGGTACACACAAGATAATGGGGATGATTTTGGGCCCAATTCCTTCTTGTAAAAATACATTTATTGGCATGTATGTCTATTGCAACTTAAACAATGTGCACAGGTTTTTCTTTGGTATTTTTTTATGGAAATAGTAAAGTATTATTTACAACTGAAAGTATGACTATTGGCCTTTTAAAAACAGCCAGAATAGTTGACCCAGAATAGGGGGCCCATGCCACCCTTGGCCACCCCTCTGGACACGCCCCTGATGACGAGCTAGCTAGCTAGATTAACCTGTTTAAGCAACCTGTGAATTCATTTGGCCCTCCTAAACTCCTAAAACCTGTGACAGTCAGCATTTGCAATATGCCGACCGCTGTTGTTGGAATTCACAACGCCTCCTCAGAAACCAATGGGTGAAGTCACTAAGCCTACGTCCATGTTTTATACAGTCTGTAATAGTAATATGGACATATGATTTGTGCAGCTTTATAACTGCTGTATTTAGGTTTTATGAATGACCATGTGTTGCATGTCATGCTGTCTGCCACAGTCTTCTATATACAATCTTGTCAATGGAAGACCTTTTACATTTTTACATTGAGTCTAATGTCCTTTAATGGAAAACTTTTAGCAGCTTTCCAACAAGTTGATGTTGCCTCTAACATCCCTCTGTGTGCATTACATTGATTGTGACAGACATGGTATGACTAAAGGTCATTGTTCCTCACTTTCTACATGATTCTCTCACCTGTCTCTGTGATGAGTCTGGCCTCTTAGACGATGAGCTGCGTTATAACCTCTCTGACAGATTGTGGCCTTTTGTATTTCCACTAAGTCGGAGTGAAGAGGCCATCAGACTCAGCTCTCACACAGCTGCAGAGAGTCCTTGAAAA